TGTGTGTGTGTGTGTGTGTCTGTGTGTGTGTGTGTGGTCAGGAAACAGGAAGTGAGGAGTCAGGCAGAGTGTGTCTCTGTCAGCTTTATCTGAACACACACACACTTTCCCCTCATGACAGGAAGACAACAGGAAGCCTGATCAACCTGATGACATCATCATCAGTGGACCAACAAGCATCTGGAACCTGACTCAAATCTATTGTCTGTTTAAAATGGATGTTCATTTAAATAATCTATTCATAAAAACAAGATATTTATATTTTATTGCCTTTTCCCACCGTTGACGCATTTTACATAGAACAGCAGCAACATTGCTTCTCTCATCTCATCTCTTGTGCCCTGGATGCCGCCCACACTCAGAGTGACAGGGAAGCCCTTCAGGCACGCGCACACGTTCGCAGCTCACTATGGCTCCGTGCCGCTCTCGTGTATAAAACCAAAGTCCTAATAAAACTATTTCTGGTATAACTCCATGTCCGATCCACCCCCAATTTTATTTATTTTTTGGGTTAATTCTAATTCAAATGTCAGACTGTTTATTCTTTAGAATTCAAAGTTCATTGCTATTACTATTATTGTGCTATAATATTATCATAATATCAGTGGTATTAAAGGGTTTCAAAATGATGACAATAATATAATTTATCACAATGATATAATCTGAAACAATATATCATCCAACATTAGCATCATGACAGAGCTACGTTAATATTTTAAATACTGCAGCAAGTTAGAAGTTTTCTTGTTCAGTTGATACCCGGCCCTAAATGTCTTTATGTTCCCTTTACACAGGTGAGACGTCTGATATTTAGTCTCTCTCTCCTCCTCTTGAATTGAATTAAAAACTTTATCAGCATTGACTCACCTGAAGCCGAACTTGTCCATGGACACGGACAGGTGTCGCGGCTGGCTGAAACACTTGTAGATGTTGCGGTCGTCCATGGGGATCAGGTCAACGTCACTGAAGACGAAACAGTTGTAGTCGTACTCCTTCAGGGCCTCCTGGTAGCCCACGTTTAGCAGCTTGGCTCGGTTAAAAATCTCGTCTCCGTCCTGAGAGAGGAAACAGATTGAGATCAGGATGAAGCGGTCTATAAATTCACACCAACACAGTCAAGGACAACTTGGGGTTGGTAAACTGACACTTCCACATGTCTAATAAGAAAATACAAACACACAGGGGCCACAGCTAAATGGACAGATACAAATGAAGTCACATTCAGGACGGAGGTCATGTGGTGTTCACACCTGTCTCAAGTGATGTGATCACCAATGTTCAGCTTTGGGCCTTGAAAGACCGTCCACTCAGCTGAAGACCTCTGACCTTTGCAGTTTCATCATGAACTAAACCGACCATGTTATTTTGATTTGAAAAAAAAAAAAATTAATTTCTGAACATGTTTACGCGAGCTGAGGAACTCAAAGCTGAACATGTGTTCAGATCAGAAACAGGCGTGAACGCCCAGTGTGAGTGATGCCTGAGCTTCAGGTCACAAAGTCGTCTCCTGTCCAGTGTTTTTGATCATAAAGTCTCATTTCCTTTTTTCTATCAGAGAGTTTTTCTTTCCACAGTTGAAAGTTTATGGACGTTCATGTTTCTGAGTTTATAAAGTGACAATGAAAAGAGGTTAGTTAAGATGAGTTCACAGTCTGGGGTTGGTAACCTGACCAATGTGATTTACATAACACTGCAGTTACCGTGCAGTTCACCTGCAGCTAACTAGTGGTTAACACACAGTTAACATGTAGAGAGTGACAGGAAGTTAAACTGCAGATCATATCCTGTCGACAGAAACACATGAGCAGAAGAAAAAAGAAGGAAGAAGCACGTTTACCAGTGCGAACCTCTCAGACAACTCCAGCTGCTATTGGCTGAGACACAGCAGGAGGTGGGTCCCAGTGTCTCCAGCGACCACAGCCATTGGTCAGAAATGCCTAACATGCAGTGGGGGGAGGGCGTAGGGTGGCAATGTGAGAAGCAGGGTGAGGAGGAAGAGGAGGAGGAAGGACACAGACAAGAGAGAGAACAACTGTAAGTCAGTCACAAACAAACACACAAACAAAGCTGTAAGAAGAGGAAGAAGAAAACTTTAAGAGAAGAAGAGTTTAGAGTCGTTTGAATCTGGGTCACGTGACTAAGACTGGAACCAAACACAGCTAGTTTACTGGATCAAGACTAACTTGATCCTGATCATCCACATAACCTGATATGTTCATTTAGCATGCTCTGTTGATCATGTGATCCCAGGAACATGAGGTGGTACCAGAAACTAGATAAAGATGGACGACATGATGAAACCAGAACATCTGTCTCACATCTGCTGATCCAGCTGTAGGGCTGTGTCTCACCCCAGAGATAAAGCAACATGTTAGACACAGAGAGAGTAGGGGGGTGCGATATTTATCGTCTACGATAATATCTTAATTGTTGCATGATGTGTGAGCTCCTGTTATCGAGTATTGGGTAGAGCCACACGGAGCGAGCGCCCCTTTCAACCATCCCCAGGAGGGAGGGAGGGAGAGCCAGGCACCTCGCACCAGCTCCACTGGCCAAGTCAGAGTGACTCCAGCCCGGCTAGAGTCACACGGACCGAGCGCTCCTCTCCACCAGCCCAGTATTTGATGACAATAAATCATTTTTCAAGTGTTCTAGAGATCACAGAGCCTTCTTATTCAGTGTGTGTGTGTGTGTGTGTGTGTGTGTGTGTGTGTGTGTGTGTGTGTGTGTGTGTGTGTGAGCCTTATCCCTCTCTCTTTTTCCTTCCCACTCATTCCAGACAGAGAGCCCAGCCAGGCTCCACCAGTGGTCTCATTATCGTTGTCAGCAATAAACATAAAATATAGATTTTTGTCAGTAAAGAGAGAGGCAGTAAATTACTGACAGAGCCAGTAAAAACTGTAAAATATAACTTTGTCACAGTCATGTATGAAAGACCCAAAACACTGTAAGGGGACTACTTGATAACTACAACCCAATTACACCACCTGCCTAAGTTTCAGTCAGGAAAAACCCTGTAGATGTACTTGTGCAACTTGCACCGTCAACATTGTTTTTGCTCCTGGGAGTAACGCAGTTACAATCATAGCCCTGGCTGACGTTTAACAACAGATCCAGATGATCCAGGTACGAAGAAAGGACAGAACATTCCAACAGAACACCGTTATTTTTGGATCTGGTTAAATAAACGGTGATGGTCTTCTTCATGAACATCAGAACTATGAGAACCTCCATCTGTGCGATGTCTCGTCTCCTGCAGGATGCAGCTCCCTCTACCTGACAGGGATCACATTTCTGTTCGGTTGTTCACACGTGAACACTTTTCGTCACATTACTCCTCCGTCACTGATACTGTTCAAATAACATGACAACGCCTCCAGAACATGGTCTGATCTGCAACCTGCTGACTGGTCTCTGCAGAACAGGAAAACATGTTGACTAATGACCTGTGTAACCCCCAGAATGATGCAGAGCGGCTCCCTGCTGAGTAAAACATCTTTTTTATCATCTTATTTTCTGGGAGTTTATTTCACATGCCTACACTTAGAAAAGCTAAATAAATAATAATAAAGCAAAACAACCATAACCAATGAAAACATTACACTTGACCAGCAGATATTAACTAAAAATACAAACTAATGTATTTTGTGTCTAATTCTCAACGTTAGAGCTGTGATACTGAGGACGATAGCGGTTTGTTGCCAGATTCATTTCGACTGTCTTTGGGGTAAGCAGGTGGTTTAAGGCAGATCGTGTAGCACTCCCTCGTCTGTTAAAGGTAAACAGGTTCCTGGTGTTTGACTGTAAAATCTTTATTTACAGAAGTAGCAGGTGACGACAGCTCAAACATCAGCTGGTGTTAAATTACAATATGTCGTCTGCTGCTTTTCAGTTTCAGCTCATCGTTGTCCATCAGTCGATCCGTTTGTGAGCTTTTTAAATAATGAAGCTGACAAACGCCAAAGTGTCCATATCATTTTATATATATTTTATAATTTATTACATTAAAGTTGTTCTGTAAACTCAACTCTTTTAGATTTTTTTCATATTTCTTCTATTTATAGCGCTGCAGAGATGCCACAGAACACAGGAAATAAAACTGGTTCTTCATGAACATCACAAAATATGTTACAGCTGAACATTATTAATCAACATGAATTTCGTGTCCATTGACTAACCATCGATGAACTGATCAAATGTTCCAACATGAATTGATTGATAAAAACTTTCATGTATTTAATAATCATGACGTCTTCCTCCTGTTGGCTGCTATTTACATGCAGTAAAATCATGTGTTTGCCATTTGGTTCAAATGCCTGAGGTCTCAGCAGCTCCCAGAAGTCTCAGCTACGACTGACTGCACTGCAGCAGTATGTTTGTGTGTGTGTGTGTGTGTGTGTGTGTGTGTGTGTGTGTGTGTGTGTGTGTGTGTGTGTGTGTGTGTGTCTTGCCTCAGTACAATAAGTGTGTTTATTATGAGCTCATTAAGTCTGAGGTCATTGAGTCCACACCTGAACACCACAGGGTTTGAATTACACCTATGGGGAAGCCCTATTTTCCGATGCGCACCAGTCCAGGAGTTAACATGTCACATGCATGCGCATACATACAAGTGCATGCAGTGCAGTCAATTGCAAGGTTATTGTAAAATGTATCCTGCTGTTATTTCTACAGGCAGTTAATACCCTCAATAACATTTCATACAGACTAAATGACAACATAAGATATAAGGCTATATATAAGGATATAAGGCTTTAATTGCCGATTTAAGAGAAAGGGTTAGAAGCATCACAGAAGCAGGAGGACACAGGTAACAGCTTTCTGCTTATCCTGATGCCTCCTGGGAAGCGGCTCAGGTCATTAAAATGCAGAACAAATAGACTGAGTAACAGCTTCTATCCATGGGCTGTCATAACACTGAACTTAATAAAATAACTATACATTCCAACCGTAACTACCTACTTTGTAACTTCTTAACTACCTACTTTACACTACAATCAACCACAACTACCTCCTCTTGCACCTCTCTTTGCATTATTTTGTATAGTTTTTAACGTCCAGTAAACATGTTTATTTCATTGTTATATTTTCTTTCTTTTTTTTTCTTTCAGTGGTAGCTGCTGTAATTTTTGTGTGATGACATTAAAGGCATTCTATTCTATTCTTTTCTCATACTCACTCCTTCAGGAACAATACATCACCTGAGCATTATTTAGCAAAATAAAACAGCTCTGTGTAGTTGACTGTCCCTTCACTCTTTTGACTTTTCACTTCTGTCTGTTGTTTGCAACAAAACATTGAAAAGAGCCAAGAGGGGAGCAAAGAGCCACGTTTACTTGTGTTTCCACTCCATGGTAATGATGCATCTCCCCCAGACTTTCCACAGGAAGTCAGGGGGAGAAAGTCCACAGACACTGCGGAGCATCTCACTCTGACATTTGCATTCACACATGCACCTCCTCCAGAGAAAATAGAGAGGAACTGCGGAGTTCAGTGCATGAGTGAAAGCAGCATCTGACATGTTGACATCACACTGTACCTGGTTGATGACGTATACTCCGTAGTCAAGCTGCTGTCTCTGCAGGATGGGGTGCAGGTAGTAGAGCCAGTACTTCAGGTGTTCATCGCGTTTGCGGAACGGGATGATGATGGCGACTTTTTGCAGCGCCTCGCAGTCTTTGGGTTTAAAGCGTCCACCCGGCCGCAGGTTGGCGTTGCTCTTCGTTATCTCCTCCAGACTGACGGACGTGGTAAACTCCACCCTCAGAGGACCCACTGAGAACACACACCAACACCAGAGTAAACAACACCTGAACTACATCCAACAGGTAATCTGTTCTTTAGCTCCAAACTACACAACAATCACATAATTAAATACACTCAGACACACATGGTGGAGACACAAAAACTGATCTCAGATCAACAACCTTCATCCGCACAAACATTTACTACACAATAAAGAACATACACACAAACACAGCCCTCTGGTCTAGAGATTGTCTCAGTGGTGACTCAACTTTCACATGCAACCACAGAATCATGTGACAACACTTCAGCTGATGACATCACCAGCATCCTCGTCGCTAACATCAGATTAAATGATCTGATTTAAAAAATCTGATTCAGGGCTCCATAATGTGTCCAAAGGGTTAGGGTGAGGGTTAGAGTGACTAAAATGTTCTTTGGTTTCACCGGTGCTCCAAACATCTACATAGCTAGTGTGTCTCTGTAAATTGAGTCATGTCGCCTCCTCTGCCCTGAGTCTGGGAGCAAGGCAGAGTAAATACTCGCACACAGGCCCTCACTCAGACTGCTCTCAGACAAACTGAGCTCCACAGATACTCCAGATTTTCTCCGGATGAGCTGCATGTGTGAACACAAACGTCTGAGCAAGTGGCACTGAAATTTCTCCACCTGGCCTCTAGCCTAAAGTCTGCAGAAAGTCCAGAGGAGTCGATGTGAGAACACGGCAAAGGATCCTCCACTGGATTCACAGCGAGAGAGTGGGGGGGTTGATTACACTTCTAACACATGACAGATGCAAAAATGAAAGAAAACAAAACAAAAAGACAACAAATATCTCCTGGTGATAAAGTTTAGCCACACACACGAAACACAACGAAGATGTCAAGAGAGTTTGTGGTGATAAGAGACGACGACACTGTTGATGTGACGTAAACAAAAACACTCTGATGATCTCTGCAGCAGAATTCATTACCAGCCTTCACCTGAATCGTGCAGAGGTTGTGTTTTTGTTGTGAACGAGTCTGAGCAAAGAATCTCCTGCTGCGTTGTTGTGAGAAAGACTGTGAAGAAAAAACGAACTAAATTCTCCAGAGATCCTCTGTAGAACATGTCTGAAAAAGGCTTGTGTGTGTGTGTGTGTGTGAATGCATGCGTGTCTAGGTGTCAGCTGAGAAAACATGGACCTCGGTCAGAAAAACAAACATAACTGGTCAAACTAAGACAACTTTACTTCAGGTCACTGAACTCCAGAAACCACATCAGACCAGAGGTCTGTCCCATGAAGCAGGATTTGTGGTTATCAGGTTAACTTCAGTTTCATTCCTACGAAGCTTGTTCCCTTGTTATTGGGGTAAATCACCACGGTAACTTATGCTGAACAGCTGACCTGCTCCAGATTCAGTTGGAGATAAGAGATCAAACTGTATGAAAAGCTCCGCCCACTGACTGGTCTTCAGAGACCCACCAGATGAATTTAAAATCCTCCTCCTCACCTACATTAATAATATGACACCATCAAAGAGCTCAAATTACCATATCACCACTAGAGCCATGTGCTCCCAGGATTCAGACTTACTTGTCCCTCAAGTCTCTAAAAGTAGAGGAGGAGCCAGAGCTTTCAGCATCAGGCTCCTTTTTATGGAATCATCTCAGGTTCAGTTCAGGAGGCAGACCTCCTCTCAGTGTTTGAGTCGGTTTTAAACCTTCCTTAATGATAAAGCTTATAGTTAGAGCTGGTCCAGACTCGTCTTAGATCAGCTCTGGGTTCTGCTGCTGTAGGTTTAGAATGTGGAGGAACACATGACACATGGAGCTTCTCTCAGCTCCTCCTCTCTCCTTATCACATCAAATAAATGAATGTCTCATCAATACATGTTATTGACTTGACTTCTTCCCCGGAGTCCCTGTGCCTTATTGTTAACAGATCCAGGGCCGCGACTGCAGCCACATCATGGATCATGATGGTGGATCGCGAATCAGAGATCATGATCATAATGGCGGATCCTGTATTGTGCTGGCTTCTGATCGTAGTGGTGGACCATGATTAAGGCGGCAGCTGAGGTGGATCCTGATGGCAGCAGTGGATCATGATGATGGATTCTAATGGTGGATCCTGAACGTGGACTATGATCACAACAAGACTGCTTGATAAACAATATGTCTCCTCAGATACTCGACCATTACTGACAATAACTCCTCAMTTCATTCACCTTCCATCCAGCTTCAAACTGTTTACTCTAACCAGTGCTGTAACTACTATTTCTCTGATGTTCTCAGTTCACATCTACTGGACTTGTGTCCGTCCTGGGAGACGGATCCTCACGTGTCTCTCTGAGGTTTCTACGTTCTTTTTTGGAAGTTTTCCCTGACTCTTGTTGAGTTAAGAACAGATGATGTCACAGCTTGTTAAAGCCTATGAGACAAATACTGATTTGTGAATATGGGCTATACAAATAAAATGTGATTGATTGATTGATGTAGATTCTCATCAGAGGGAATGAAGAACCTCTGTGTTCTGTGTGTTTATTCAGATCTAACCACTGCTGTGCAAAGGCTCTGCCACACAAACACTGCAGGATTTAGGTGTGTGTGTGTGTTGACATTGGGTTGTAGTGACACAAGGAACGTACACATACCGATTTATTTACTGGTTCACCCTTTGTGACACTTCAGGGACATTTTTCAGGACATTTGTTTTTATGAAGTTTTGTATGAAGTTTGTAAAAGTTTTTATGAAGGTGTTCAGGATGTTTGCACAAAGTCTTTATGAACATAATATAATATAATTTATATGATTAGGCTGCATCAGCAGCCAGGCACTGAGGGGTTCACTTTTTTTTACAAGAGCAAAAGAGACGGCAGACGTCATTTTGGTTTTGTTTGTTTGCAAAAAATGGAAAAACCACACAAAATGTGGCGCCTGCCTGGACAATGGACTTTCTCTCCTCAGGTGCCTCAGTGGCCCATTTAATTATGAGTTTGGGTCAGTGGCTTAGAGAAATGTCTTCTTACCGAACAATGGAAAAAATAACACATATGGTTATGGGTGGACATGATACTATCAAAGAGGTTTGGGGACCGTTCTTGGACTAGTGACAGATGAGGGGAGTAATTCAACTAGTGTGTGAGAGAGATGTCAGCCTTGGCTTGTGACACTGTCCCAAATATATCCTTTAAGAAGGGATCAGACCATGGTGAAAAGTTATTTTGTTTATATTATGTCAATATAATTTGTGATGTTTTATTTAATTTAATTTTACTATTGTTTTTTGTGCATTTATTGTCTGTGGTTGTTATCAACTGTTTGGTTTTTGTTGCACTTGTTGTCCAGGTTATGTTTATACCTTTGTATGTCTAGGTAAAGATGAAACTCAATAGACATATTGTTAAGAAAAATAATAATTATGAGTTTGAGTTTTAAAGTTGAGGATCACAAAAAGTGAAAAAACTTAAAGTGGACAGTATTTCTGATGGGCTTACTGGAACTTTGTGTGTTGTGCATTTGACAGTTGTATAACTAAAAAACTACCCAACAGCATCGGTATGTGAAAACATTTACTCTGAGGCTGTATCTGATGGAACGGCTGAGATATTGGAGGGTTTGAGTCATTGTCTTTACTGCGTATCAGCAAATATTGGGAGGATCAAAGAGCGGTAGACTTAAATGCAGCAACCGGAGACGCTGTCTCACTCACTCATTCATCCGTTCATAAAAAGTCAGGACATGTTGCTGGATGTTCCCCTGTACATTCTAAGTGCTAATAAGGAGTGTGGAAATTAAGGTGACCTAAAGAAAAAAGGACAAAGACACAACGTCAGCGCCACATCACCTGAATGAATCATTCATGGTCTGGATTGATCAAAGGAACATGAAAGGAAAATACATATTTACATTTACAAGCTAAATGAGCCTGTTCTTCAATAATCTTGTGAAATGTTAGTGGTCTGATGCTGGTCACACATCGATCCTCTGTGTGTTCCTCTGTGTGTTCTACTGTGTGTTCCTCTGTGTGTTC